AGAGAGAGAGAGAGAGAGGAAAAAGCCTGCATAAGGGCTCCTACATCCGCAAGGCAAGTTTCCAAAAAGCAGTGTCTCAAACAAGCTACTAGAATGGGAAACTAATGTAAGAAAATTAAACGCCTCAAGATGGCCTGGTCTCCAAACATTCCATCATGTGTACGTGCATTTAAAAGATAAAGAGCATCAGGCCACAGTTCTCTGTCTTCTACTTTTACTTTCTGTCTTCTATATTCCAACAATGGCTCCTCTTAATGCCCATTGGCTGCAGAAATAGGGAAATATTTAAGTTACAAATTTTTTAATACTAAGAAAAACTAAGAATAAAAACCTGACTACTATTGAAGCATAGATATATGCAGAATCTCTTTATACATAACGCAAAGGTGATATCAAGACATCGACCATAAAATGTATGAAATGAACATCTACATCAAATATGCACATTTTTTATACTACCCCACATTTGTATGGCACACTTTGGAACCTTTTTTCACTAATAAAAACTAATAGTTTCATGAGATAACAGAACATCTGGCAAATAAGGATCTTGATAGCCCAATAGATCTATTCTTCATTCATTATTTATCCATTTGCTACCAACAATACTAGGAATAAGAGGGGCAGTGACTACTAACCCGTTTTAACTTAACATGAGATGCACAGATATTTTCTATCCTTAAAAAGGATAAAGGAAGCAATCAAGTATAAGAAACAAATTGATTAATGAGATACCATGTACGACTAGAATGTCATGGAGTGGGTCTCCCTAGATACATCCCAAAAGTCCATAGTGGACCCCTATCTTTAGGAGAAACCTCTTTCAGACCAGGAATCCAATTCCCTCATCTCCCTTCTCCATTTGCTTGACCCCATCTTCAGTCTCCTTCTTTGCCAAGACGCTCTAATCTGGTCCCCTAACCCTTCGGGCTCCTTCTCTGTCTCTTTTATACTCCTCTTCTTCCAAATTAGAACCCGAACCCTCTCCTCAACAAAACTTGGTCTCTTCCTATTCCCAACAAAATTCAAGCTTTCATCTAGGTTCTCCTCCAAGGTTGGACCAACTTCAACGCAGAGGTGTTTCTTTCCCCAACTGCTGTATTCTGTCTCCAGGAAGAAGAGGTGATCCCTCACCTTTACATCCATTGTAAGGTCTTCCTAGGACTATGGTCTTCCCTCCTTAAACTCTTGGGCTTGCAGTGGGATACCCCCCCCTCCCTCCCTCCCTCTCAGAAAAAAGAACTCTAGCACCTCTCTGTTGTGGATCTCCTATGGAGCTTATGGCTCAAGAGGAACTCTAGAACCTTCAGAGGAACCCTGAAAAGCCAACAATCTGTTTTTAAATCTATCACAGCCCTAATCTCCCTTTGCGCCAAAGTAATACTGACTTTTGCCTCTATCCCAATCTCCCACTTCTTGATAAACTGGGATTGCCGCCTTAATTTATCAACTCCGACCCCAAGACCTAGACCACTTTGGACACCCCCTCCCCAGGCTTCCTTAAACTCAACACAGACAGGCCTTCCCTTGGGAACCCAGGGCCCTCTGGCATAGGAGGCACACTTGCAGATTCTTCTGCAACTATCTTGACCTTCTTAGAATTCATAATAATTAATGGCTCCACCTTTGAGGAGGCTCTGGCTCTCCTCGAAGGCATCAAACGTGTGGCTCTTGTGGGGCCCAGTGCTCAAGGGATCATCGTTGAAGCAGACTCCAGAAATACGATACTCTGGGCTACCCAACAGAAGCAACCTCCTTGGAGGCTCAACTCTGTTTTTGAGCATATAATTTTCCTTTGCAGCTCCCTATCAAACTCATCCCTCGGGAGGCCAACTTAGAAGCAGATTGTCTGGCAAAGGTAGGAGCCACCCATGGCACAGGTGCACCACTTATCCCCTAAAATCTCTCTTCCACTCTCTTCTCTCTCTCTCTCTTTATCCCCTGACCTTCCTCCTCATTCTATCTTATTCTCTCTCCCCATCCTCAGACAGGAAAAGAAAAAAAAAAAAAAGGAAAAGGGAGAAGAAAGAAAAAGGAAAAAAAGGGAACAAGAGAAAAAAGGAAAAAAAAAACAGAAAAAAAAAATTGGGCTAATAGTGGTAGTCTCCCCTATCTCATCCCTTCTGTTCCTCATATCTCAAGCCTCCCCATCTCTACCTATCCCCTTCTTTCTCACCTTTCCCTCATCTTTTTTCTCTCTCTTGCTCAACTCCAAGCTTTCTTAGACAGCCACCGCACCCTCTAAACATTCAGCCCCTATCCCTATTCTCATATCCTTCCCTACCCTCTAAACATTCAGCCCCTATCCCTATTCTCATATCCTTCCCTACCCTTTTTTCCTTTATCACTGTCTCTCTTAAATCTATCCTTCTACCCCTTTTTTCCTCTTTCTCTCACCTCCCCTTCCCCATCGTTTTTCTTGGTATGTCTCAATCTGACGACCTAATGCTTCCAAGGATATCAGAGTTTCTCTTCTTTTGCTTTCTCTTTATCCCCCCCCCCCCCGTCATCTTATCTGAAACTCACATTACCACGACAAACTGCTGCTGCTGAGGATTGCCGATCTTCAAGACCTGTTGAATTGTTACGACAACCTCAACACTCTCAAGATAGGAGCATCCCCACAGCTTGCCCAGAAACATCCCCACAGCTTGACCAGGTAGCATCCCCTCATGTTTTGCTCAACAACAGCCCCTCAGCACGCCCACCAACAGAATCATACTCCATCTCCCTGTTAACCTCTCACTGCAAAGTGTAGTTTTCCTGTTTCTTTTAGGATTTCTTTCTGTTTTTTTTAATACCTAGTTTGGGTCTTCTAATTTTGTAATCTTCTCCTCTTCCCTGGGGAGCTTTTTTGCTTTATCTCTTAATTTCTCCTATCATAACAGTCATTGTTGTAGTTTGAGCACCCGACTTGTGGGATGCCATCCGTAGTATAATCATATGGGCAAGCTTTCTATGCTTCCCCTACAACATAAAACTTATATACTTCCCCTAATCCAACCGTCCATTCTGAATGGAGGGCTAGGATTGCCCCAATCACAATGTCACGTGTCTACACTATTTTATTTTTTATTTTTTTCTACAAACTATTTGAACACCAAATTTTGTACGTCCAATCCTCTATAAACTCGCACTAGCGAAAAATATGAAACAAATATTTCCAA